CCCCCAAAACCCCAAAACCCCAAAACCCCAAAACCCCTGGACTCAGGAATTATATTGGAAACTCTATTGCACTTTAAAAATTAAACCATTTGATTTTGCATGTGACCATAATCCATCTTTGGAGCGTTTGTGTTCTGGTTAACGCTTCTTTCCAACATTTCATATCTCTCTTGGGATTTCTTGTAGCTACGATGATATGCATAGATTCCTCCACAATAGCATAGGAGACAACAGCAAGTGCATATTACTGTAAAACCCATAACTGTGAATAGAACAGTTGTGAGATTGACCTTATTTTCTTCATCAACATCAACCTGCTGACCTTGAGTTAGAGGAACCAAAAGGACCAAAATAACTATCATTTGAATTATTCTGAGTGTCAAATGGGCAACAGCAAAATAGATTATATACTTCAGCATTTTCTTAGTTGCTTCACTTTGATCTTCCTTAGCTGTCTTTAAGGTAAGATATCCTTGATAAACTACCAGTCCAGAAGCGATAACATCAATGGCTTTTCCAAAAAGTCCTGGGAATCCTTCAGTCATGAGAGTGTTCCCTGACCCATGTCTTTGATTACCCAGGTTAACAAAGGCTGATATGAATTGAAAAATGTTGACAATAAGTGAGATCCCTCCAAGAACCATCAGAATCCAAGCAATCACTATAATTTATTTTTAGATTTTCTCCAGGATGAGATTCAGGCGAATGATGAAGATCTTTTGGAAAATAAAATAATCGAATGAAATCAAATAATGCTTATCCTTCACTGGAGTTTAACCAGCAGAATCTCTAAGGATGGCCTAAGATAAAGGTAAACCCGTTAAATAATTTCTAAATATCCTTTTGAATTTATGACAGTAAGTGAACTCAATCTGATAAAAGATTGAGACACTTAATCCCTGGCTTACCTTTAATCCCAAAATTCTTGCTCTTTCTATCATCTCTAGCCACAGCAAGTTCATAAGAAGGCTGGCCTCCTCCATTAACCTGCTGCTGACCTCCTACATTAACCTGTTGCTGGTATCCCACATCAACCTGCGGCTGATATCCAGCCGGATACCCAGCTGGCTGGGCATTCGGATACCCCAAATCCTGTTGTTCCCTATTATGCATTTTATTTATATCAATCACAAAAATATTTATCGGGGTTTTGGGGTTTTGGGGTTTTGGGGTTTTGGGG